TGAGACTAATAATCTCATCAATGATGAAATATCGATAGCAATCGATAGGATCGATTGTACTATCCTCCGAATTTGCCGATACTTCTTCCACCATTCTATAATCCTTTGAAAATTCAGCATTCGAGTCTGATTCTATTTTGCCCCAGACTTGTGAATCCACATCATCATCCGTAACTTGTTCCTCGAAGCTTGACGATTCAAATTACATTCTAGCAAACTCATCATCCAAAGAACTCACATCACTCAGTGAGTTACCGCTGTCTTCTGTATCGGTTTCTTCAAACGGCACGTAAATCAGCGCAAAATTTCAGTTGTTTATATGTAATTTTTGTGTATAGTTAGTGGAAGTGAGTTCAGTTTATTCGGATATATATATATAGAGAGAGAGAGTAGTATAGAACAGAAAAGAGAAAATGCACTTGGATAACCTGAACGTATACAAAGAACAAAGAAAAATAGAGTATGTACCTATGTGTGATGATGTCATATAACAGCGATGGTAATGAGAGAGGAAAAGAAAGAGGTCGTAACATCACTCAACAGAATCAAAGATAATATTACGAAAAGAATGTAAAAGAAAAACATTGAAACTTTGTTTCTTTATTTCGTACATTGAAACTATTTTCCTCGGAAAACCGAATCGCCATGAAAGAGTTAAAGTACAATACCTATTCGTATTTTGACTGCCAAACGCTGAAGAGTTCTATAGAACTGATAGAACTTTTCTGTTTTAATATCTTTGAATGGAGAAATTGTTTTTAAATTCAGCGTTTTTATCAGAATCTGTCAAGATTCAGTATTATTGAGTTCATTACGTTTGGGCAGATAACATTTTTGGACAGAGAACCTTCAATGGGTTACTGTTACTGACCAGAACCTTCTATGGTTCATCGTCATTGAACAAAACCCTTCATAGTTTCGCATTCTAGGACAGAACTATGTATAGATCAGATTGTTGAGCAGAAAACCTTTCATGGTTCAGGATTACTGACCAGAACTTTTAAAGGTTCTGCGCGTGGTCCTGAACCATTAAATAATTCTGCAACACTCCATTTTACTGAGAGTGGGATTAAAGCTATCTACAGGTCATCATCAGTTATCAAGAAAATACATTAAGGTTTACATGCATCACATCGATATATGTTTTTGAGAATTTTGTTTTATTTATCAATATTCATCTAGCCCATCTTGATTGTTCCTCTAGATACGTAAGTTCTAATATTTTTGCGCTACTTCTAGTGAAAAATTAGTATTACATCACGATCTGGAAGTCAATAATTGCTAGGTAATGAAATNAAAAGAATGTAAAAGAAAAACATTGAAATTTTGTTTCTTTATTTCGTACATTGAAGCTATTTTCCTCGGAAAACCGAATCGCCATGAAAGAGTTAAAGTACCATACCTATTCGTATTTTGACTGCTAAACGCTGAAGAGTTCTATAGAACTGGCAGAACTTTTCTGTTTTAGTATCTTTGAATGGAGAAACTTTTTTAAGTTCAGCGTTTTTAGCAGAATCTCTCAAGATTCAGGGTTATTGAGTTCATTAAGTTTGGGCAGATAGCATTTTTGGACAGAGAACCTTCAATGGGCTACTGTTACTGACCAGAACCTTCTATGGTTCATCGTCATTGAACAAAACCCTTCATGGTTTCGCATTCTAGGACAGAACCATGTATAGGTCAGATTGTTGAGCAGAAAACCTTTCATGGTTCAGGATTACTGATCAGAACTTTTAAAGGTTCTGCACGTGGTCCTGAACCATTAAATAGTTCTGCAACACTCTATTTTACTCAGATTGGGATTAAGGCTATCTACAGGTCATCATCAGTTATCAAGAAAATACACTAAGGCTTACATGCATCACATCGATATATGTTTTTGGGAATTTTGTTTTATTTATCAATATTCATCTAGCCCATCTTGATTGTTCCTCTAGATACGTAAGTTCTAATATTTTTGCGCTACTTCTGGTGAAAAATTAGTATTATATCACGATCTGGAAGTCAATAATTGCTAGGTAATGAAATTATCTACCAACATGCTGGCATCTTGTCACACACAGAAGCGAAATGAACAGCATAATATAAAAAATTTCAGTGTATTTCTTTTAATAACTCACGGTGGTCGCTAAATAGTCTTAATCTCAATACTGTAAGCTATTACATGTGAGACGACATTAGTAAACATGCAATTAAATAAGATTAAAATCCACGGCTCTTTATCAGATATAAACCACGCTTCACTCTATCCGTCTCATAGAGGCAGACAGAGCGAATGCACAAACTCGCCATACATTATGCGGTGCCTCTTACATACACATTGTTTGATACATTCGTAAATCTGAGTTTTTTGCTTATGATCTTTGTATTGAAGTGAACAATAAATACAATATTTAAAATCTTTGACTGTCAATACTAAAATAAAAACATTATCATCTCTTGGGAATGAGACATTTCGCACCAACTTTTCATTCCGATCTCCTCACATTAGAAAAAAAGACACGGTGTTCGGAATTAAGTGAACGGGAGTTCGGCGTGACAAAAATCAACCAAAAGTTAAAAGAACACGGTGTTCGTAATGAAAGTTGTTCAGAAGATCGTAACGAACAGCGACAGTTTTTTTTTAAACCCTGAAATTTGACTGGAGTTTGGAATAAGAATAACCGGGAGATCGTAACAAGAAAAGCAGGAAGATTGTAATGAAAAAAGACAGGTTGTTCGAAAGTGTGTTTAAGTTTGCTCTTTTTTAAGAGATGTGAGATGGCTCACTGGTTTTTATTTTAAGATCGTACACAAATGACGTCCTGATGAACACAATACATCTTTTTCAACACAAAGAAAACAGAACTTAGAGGAAGAGATAGAACAACATACAAGAAACAGCTTTCATCGATATACCATTTCTTGATGCAGCAGCACTATAAATAGAAGAAAGAGAGATAACAATTAAAAATTAGTGCATAAAAGTCTTAACGGTTTGCGTATTATTAAAGCTGTCGTAACAACAGAAAGATAAAAAGCTTGAAGGTCGTTACGAAATCCTTGTAGTCTTTTTTTTAAATTCATCCACAGCGTTAGGCATTCTTTATAAGTTGAAAACAAAGACTAAATACTTACTCATGCAAGACAGATGTATCATCCTTATTTTCATCATTCTCTTCATTTTCTGATATACGACCACGTTTTTTAGCAACAGAAACTCTGGTTTTTGATTTACTTAGTCTTGAAGCAACGGCAGACTGGGATAATGATGACGATGAAGAAGCAGCAGCATTACCATTTGTTCTAACTCGAAGACGATCTGGCATAGGAGTTAAACGTGTTATTGCTGCTCTTAATGAACTTTGTTGTGAACCTGTATTTACTGAATCTTCACTGCCTGTACTATGACGATTAGAAGGTAAGGAAAAAGCAGTTGAAGTTATTGTTGTTGCGATTACAGTGGCTAATGTATGTTTTTGTGTTTGTTGACGTGCTCTCAATGTTGTAACATCATAATCTAGTTTTGTACAATTCTGTGTAGCAATAGCATTTGCATTTAATAATCTGGAAATAAATCCACAATGTGCTCTTCAAACGTAGAACTTCTTATTTAATGCGAAAGTTGTATAATCAGCAACGATTGGTAATTGTCCATTATTTTTTAACACTCTAAGTTAAAATGTGTGGCATTTTTGTGTTGTACAATTTCGTGTCGTAAGATAGCTAAGAAGATTGTGTTACACTTTAATGTGTCGTGGCAGATGTGTCGCAAAATTGAATGTGTCGTAGAATTAGATAGGTTCGCCAGTGTAGTAAATAAACATATTATTGANAAAACCGAATCGCCATGAAAGAGTTAAAGTACCATACCTATTCGTATTTTGACTGCTAAACGCTGAAGAGTTCTATAGAACTGGCAGAACTTTTCTGTTTTAGTATCTTTGAATGGAGAAATTTTTTTTTTAAGTTCAGCGTTTTTAGCAGAATCTCTCAAGATTCAGTGTTATTGAGCAAAATCCCTCTGGTTCATTATTCTTAAGCACAGAATGTGTTATGGTTTGGGATTTTTGGACGGAATCTCTTAGGGTTCATTATTCTTGTGCAGACAATGTTTTACGATTCAGAATTTTTGAGACAGAACCCATTGAGTTCATTAAATTTGGGCAGATAACATTTTTGGACAGAGAAACTTCAATAGGCTACTGTGACCCTTACATACACATTGTTTGATACATTCGTAAATCTGATTTTTTTTGCTTATGATCTTTGTATTGAAGTGAACAATAAATACAATATTTAAAATCTTTGACTGCCAATACTAAAATAAAAACATTATCATCTCTTGGGAATGAGACATTTCGTACCAACTTTTCATTACGATCTCCTGACATTAGAAAAAAAGACATGGTGTTCGGAATTAAGTGAACGGGAGTTCGGCGTGACAAAAATCAACCAAAAGTTAAAAGAACAGGGTGTTCGTAATGAAAGTTGTTCAGAGGACCGTAACGAACAGCGACAGTTTTTTTTTAAACCCTGAAATTTGACTGGAGTTTGGAATAACAATAACAGGGAGATCGCAACAAGAAAAGCAGGAAGATTGTAATGAAAAAAGACAGGTTGTTGGAAAGTGTGTTTAAGTTTGCTCTTTTTTAAGAGGTGCGAGATGGCTCACTAGTTTTCATTTATTCTAGATTTTATGAAAAAGAAAGAAAAAGTTCTGTAATGGTTGTGAATATTAGAATAAATCACTTACGATGTCCAGGTAAATTGGATTACGAACATCTGGCTTTTTGTCGTCCCGATTCTCCGACACTACTTCACATATAGTAACAACCATTCTATTCCGAATTCCCGGTGAGACTCTCCCAATTTCCCTGTTTCTTGCAAATACGATCTCCTAGTCAAAATGAATTACGAACTCCTGGTAAATCTTTTTAAGAGAAAAAATCATTTCCGAACACCCGGTCACATGTCCGGAAGTTTGGAATACCTAGTGCAAACTGTCTTTCATCCTTATCTCTTTATGCACTTCTACATATAACAAAAGGAAACATATAAAAAAATTATTATAAAAGGCAGCATCATCACACTACTTTAATTAAACTGATCTATCTTCAAAATAAGGAGCCTGTTTGAAGAATTTTTTTCTATATTGGATAACTCAAATTGTTGACAGCAAAACATCTATCGAATATTTCGTTTAATATAGCATATATATATTCCCAGAAAAATAAAGAACAACTACGTCACTCTCAAATTTGTCTTCACTTTTCGTTATCACGTCACGTCATCTATTTTTGCTATAATTTTCAAACGGCTAGTTCAAACGAACTCATAAGTTCAGAGGTTTTGGAATAGGCAAAGACACTTCTTCCAACGAAAAAATGTACCTTCTGAGCAACCTGATTCCTGAGAAAAGTTAATCAAATAGTGGCGAAAATGTTATCGCATTACGCTTGAACAAGCCATATACGGATCTATAGTGGTGTAAGCCAAGAAGCCATATAAATGCCCGCAAATAAAATGCATTTAGATAACAAAATAGCGTCTCCAAATACATTTGAATCTGTTTTTGGCTGAATTGAAACTTAATTATAATGCCATTTCTCCCAATTACGACTTTCTCGAGACGTTTCAACCACCAAAACATTGTAGAGCTTTACACGAACTCCAACCCACATTGTCTACGTTTCCATTATAATTCGGTTCAAATGTAGCGATCATGTCTTTTCCAGCGCGGAACTATTATGAAACAATTGCGATACAAAACTAAAAGAAGTCAGCTATAGTCATTGATTGGTTCCGCAAAGCTAAATCTAAAAAGCTCTAGCACGCCAGGAACCACAGAGAACGAGCATCTGTATGGAAAACTCAAAATAATTCGCTTCGCGTATCAACCAGATCATTTTAGAGTACATTGACAAGCAATTTACACAAAAGCTCAAACAACTGATCACCTAGTTACTGAACACTCTCTAAAGCTATTCGATAATCACACGGTCATTAAGAGCGACGGAAGTTTGAGACACATTACCTTAAATTGTATAAATGGGAGAGCAAGAGATTAGGAGCGGGGATGGCACTTTAAAAGTTACAGTTAAAGTACCGCACTTCAACTATAAATTTCCAAGTAAAATTTTAAGTGGTACTTTAAACTTTAAAAGTTAAAGTTAAAGTGACCATACTTTAAACTTAACCCTTAAAACATTTCACGTTAAAGTAAACCTTTTCTTATAAAACAAAATTTTTCCCAAAAATTCATAAAAATCAATAAATATTTAAGCACCCAAAACTTTTCATGCACCATGAAACCAGTGTATCCGTAAGTAATCATTAACTATATATTGGGAGTACCGTTGAGTCATCATATACTGTATATTTGGGGACCCTTAGATAATCATATACTGTATATTCGGGGTACCCTTGAGTCATCATATACTGTATATTTGGGGTACCCTTGGGTCATCATTTATTGTATATTGGGAGTACCCTTGGTTCTTCATATACTATATAGTGCGGGTATCCTTGGGTCATCATATACTGTATATTGGGAGTACCCTGGGGTCATCATGTACTATATATTGGGGATACCTTTGTGTCATGATATGGCATATATCGGGGGCACCCTTAGGCCATCATTTACTATAATTTGGAGGCATCATTGGGTTATCATATACTATATAATAATGGTAGCCTTCGATAATCAACTACTATGTAAAGAGGGGTTTCAAAGGTCATTCACCGGGATATAGGGGTGCTGTCCATACGCCATGAGCTTCTATATAATGGGGTGGGTCTCAATAGTTCACGAACTACTGTATAACAGGGTACCTATCGATCATCTGGTATTATATAATAGGAAGATTCATTAACTTTCGAGCGCAATAGAAAGTGGGCATTCATTACTAGTCGTGTCGTTTATCGTAGAGATGCGCATAAATGGTCATATAGTATCGGATGCTGGTAAGCATTTTTGTAGATCATCTATAAAAGTGACCTTTTGGTAGTTCACCACGAACTGTATAGAGATAGTTTACTTAAGTTCTCCTATGAAATGTTGAGATTGTTTCTCATATTTCTTCAGAGCTTTCGGAGAGGAAGTAGCCGGTTAAGGATAACACTATGATGTTTGTGTGTAATTTTCGTGTTTGGAACGTGTGTGCGTTTGTTGAGTACATGTTCTCTTCACTTATGGCTTAATAGCATTACGATAATCTTTTATAGTGTTTGGAATCACTCTCCACAGTTTCTCCATCGATCACCGTTTTAGAATTTTATGATTTCAATTGTGTTACGTTGTTTGTTTTATATATGATAGTGACGCCTTTCAAAGAATCCCTGTATCCTCCGTAGACGTGATCCGTGCCCTGTATCTGTGCTTTTTTAAATAGCGCGATCGTGTATGCTCTGGTAGCACAGATATGTATACATCGGTTTGTTCTTTTTTTTGTCTCTCTAGTAATAATCTTGACAGTAGCAGCACTAGGTTTTTTGTGTCGTGGGGCGTTTCGTTGTGGCTAGGAGCACCTTAGTGGAGGAGACTAGGGGCGCTTATGATTATAGAACGTAATATCAACTTATTGTTAAAAGTTTTATGCTGGGATAAACCTAAATTTTTTTGGGACTAGTACCGATCGCTCATATTGTGCCGCGCCGCTCGCTCCTCTGCTTCCCCCTGAAATCCGCCACTGAATCTGGAATGTTTCTATTCTGAGTCCGTTAGAGAAGCAGTAGGGATTCAGTGTGATGGGAAAATGTCGAAATGCAAATAGTGAACTCAAAAAGTATCGGAAGAAATGACGTGTCCTGAAAATGGCCACTCTAATCACTTGCAGTTCATTGTTATTGTTTTATAATTCTTATAAAGCAGGTTGTTATCTAGTAGTAATAGAAATGNTCAATACTAAAATAAAAACATTATCATCTCTTGGGAATGAGACATTTCGCACCAACTTTTCATTACGATCTCCTGACATTAGAAAAAAAGACATGGTGTTCGGAATTAAGTGAACGGGAGTACGGCGTGACAAAAATCAACCAAAATTTAAAAGAACAGGGTGTTCGTAATGAAAGTTGTTCAGAAGACAGTAACGAACAGCGACAGTTTTTTTTAAGCCCTGAAATTTGACTGGAGTTTGGAATAACAATAACAGGGAGATCGCAACAAGAAAAGCAGGAAGATTGTAATGAAAAAAGACAGGTTGTTCGAAAGTGTGTTTAAGTTTGCTCTTTTTTAAGAGATGTGAGATGGCTCACTAGCTTTTATTTATTCTAGATTTTATGAAAAAGAAAGAAAAAGTTCTGTAATGGTTGTGAATATCAGAATAAATCACTTACGATGTCCAGGTAAATTGGATTACGAACATCTGGCTTTTTGTCGTCCCGATTTTCTGACAGTACTTCACATATAGTAACAACCATTCTATTCCGAATTCTCTGTTTTTTGCAATTACGAACTCACAGTAAATTTTTTTAAGGCAAAAAATCATTCCCAAACAGCAGATTACATGTCCGGAAGATCGGAATACCTAGTGCAAAATGTCTTTTGCTCTCATCTCTTTATGCAGTTATACATATAACAAAAGGAAGCATATATAAAAAAATTATTATAAAAGTCAGCATCAGCACGTTACGTTAATTAAACTGATCTATCTCCAAAATAAGGAGTCTGTTTGAAGAATTTTTTTCTCCATTGGATACCTCAAACTGTTGACAGCAAAACGTCTATGGAATATTTCTTTTAATATAGCATATATATATCCGCAGAAAAATAAAGAACAACTATGTCACTCTCAAATTTTTCTTTACTTTTCGTTATCACGTCACGTCATCTATTTTTGCTATAATTTTCAAACGGCTAATTCAAACGAACTCATAAGTTCAGAGGTTTTGGAATAGGCAAAGACACTTCTTCCAACGAAAGAATGTACCTTCTGAGCAATCTGATTCCTAAGAAAAGTTAATGAAATAGTGGCAAAAATGTTATCGCGTTATGCTTGGACAAGCCGCATACGGATCTATAGCCATGTAAGTCAAGAAGGCATTTAAATGTCCGCAAATACATTTGAATCTGTTTTTCACTGAATTGGAATTTAATTATATTGCCATTTCTCCCAATAACGAGTTTCTCGAGACATTTCAAACGCGAAAGCATTCTAGAGCTTTATACGAACTCCAATCGATATCGTTTACGTTTTCGTTATGATTCGCTTCAAATGTAGCGATTTTGTCATTTCCAGCCCGGAACTATTATGAAACAAATGAGATACAAAGCCAAAAGAAGTCAGCTATAGTCATTGACTGGTTCAGTACAGCTAAATGTAAAAGCTCTAGCAAGCCAGGATGGATAGAGAATGAGGATTTGTATGGAAAACTCAAAATAATTCGATTCGCGTATCAACTAGGGGCAGACCAGCTCAGCTCACGGACTCCGTTCAAATGAGCTAAAGAGCTGCTCGAACAGTTCTTCTCAGCGAACTGAACCGTTTCCAAACAGTTCGTTTCAAATGAGCTGAACTGTTCGAACAGCTCATTTGAACGAACCGAACTTTTTTCAGGGGTACCTATATGCCCTCAAGGGCTACTATATAGGGGTACCCATAGATCCTCAAGGGCTACCAGAGAGAGATTCGGCCTAATCCTAGGGTTATCGAGGACGCTCTATCGATTGATGGGTATATGTGGGGGTCCCGGTCGTTTCCTTTGTGGTGAAATAGAATCTCGCCATCTGATTGGTCGAAAACTTAACCTGAATCTCAAGATACCCCTATAGGATAGCCCTTGAGGACCTACTGGTGCCGCTATAGGGTAGGCCTTGGGGACCTATGAGTATCCGTC